ATTGTGAAGTCAGTTTAATGTTCCAGTTGTATCGAAGTAACTTTAGCTGGTTGACATTGGCTCACAAATATTTGGTTTCCTGCCTCTGTTGGTTACACAGCATAAACACTTCCCTTACTATGTCAGCATGCAGCCTGGATCTGATATACCTAGACCACAACATAAATTATAGAAGCACCCTATACTTAAGGAGTTACCGTCTGCATGACTGACCTGCAAGGAATTCATCTTGGGTCGCCTTCTAGCTAAAACAGGTATCCACATGTTTAATTTAAAATTTAAAACAGAGTTTGTTTTACAAGAGGCTTGCCTGTTGGGGAACATTCATCTAAATTTTAAATAAATGGCCGCCCAACAGTCAGCCTCAGAGAGCAAAACCAACTCTGCTCTTTTCATGCCTGTGAAGATATAATCTATGAGCCACATTAGAAAAGGACCACCTTCAAGAAGGTACAATCCCCAAAAGCAGGACAAGGTGGGGTAGACATGATTACGACTGAATAAAATATGGTGGCTTAAGGGATTTTTAAAGACTTAAAAACCAACCTCTTTTTTTTAAATCAGAATTTTTTTTAAAAAGGTACTCATAATTTGAGTACCATCAGCAACATTTTGCTGACACTACTGTAAGAGGGCTTCCTTCTCTCATAGTGGATAAACTAGCAGGTGCAAGCCTAACCCATATTAGACACATACATTACATACTTAGCAGTGCCGAAGAACACACTTTTAAATTGGACAAGCCCAATGCATTCTTCTCTACATCATGAATTGAGTAATGTGGATTCTGGGCTCCTACAATGAACTCAACCTGAGGAGCAATGTTTTGGGGAGAGAAAGAGAATAAGCAGTCTTTTAATGGCCATCTAGGAACAAACTGCTTAAAGAGAAACTGTCAATTTAGGTTTTCTCTGGCTATCTCCTTTCTTTTTATACAGAATCTACATCCAATTAGTTCCCTGTGTTTAGGAATAGTTAGGCCTAAAATTGATCTTGTAAACCTCTCATCATCATCTCTGAGCCACATTCTTCTGCTTCTTAGTGGTATAAGCTCCTCATCCGTTCCCATGCTTTTGATACAACCGCATTCAGCTATGAAGAACGGGAGCCTCTTGTTCAGTGCGAGTGCCCCTCCCGACTCTCTGTGTGGTCCTGCCAGTTCTTGAGGAAAGGGCAGGATCGCTGCTTGATTATGATGACTGGAATTACCACCTCTGTGTCAGTGTGTGCCTGCACAATTGGCAACACACATCCTTCCAACAGCGAGAACACATGGGAAAGCAACAAGTAATAGCAGCCTGTGCCTCTGCTGAAACCTCACCAATTTGATCTCCAGCCACCTGAAAAACCACATCAGAAGAGAAAAAAAGCTTTACAGCCATGGATTTACTTTACTACAAGATAGTCCACCGTGATGCTCATTTAGGAATAAACTCTAAAAGATATCAGAAGAGAAAAAAAGCTTTACAGCCATAGTCCACTACAAAATAGTCCACCGTGATGCTCATTTAGGACTAAACTCTAAAAGACATTCTGAGATTCTTTGCGCTCGGAGTAGTGCAGTTTAATCCAGTCCTAGTTTGCTCTGAAACACGGCTTTTAACCAGTATAGGGTCAGAAATATAGAACACCCTTTCACTGTACGTGCTCACATGTTCTACCTACACCCCCCAATTGTCTGTCTGTCTATATGTATGTATGTACAGTCGTGCCTCGCTTTATGATTACCCCGCATTACGACAAAACCACATTACGACGATCTTTTTGTGATCACAATTGCGATCGCAAAACGATGGTCTAAATGTGTTTATTTTCGCTTTGCAATGATCGGTTCCCTGCTTCGGGAACCGATTCTTCACAAAACTACAATTTTAAAACAGCTGATCGGCGGTTTCAAAATGGCCGTCGGGGAAACAAAATGGCTCCCCGCTGTTTTCTGGGACGGATTCCTCGCAAGACAGGCAGCGAAAACGTCTTCCCTATGGAGGATCTTCGCTAGATGATGAGTTTTGACCCCAATGGGTTTTTTTTCGCTTTATGATGTTTTCACTTAATGGCAATTTTCCTGGAACGGATTATCGCCGTTAAGTGAGGTACCACTGTATGTATGTATGTATGTATGTATGTACACAAGTTATTTGAATACCACTCTACAATATACTAATGTATGTATGCATGTATGCATGTATGTATACAAGTTATTTGAATACCACTCAAATTAGTGCAAAGCACTACTCAGTGCAGTTGACAACAATATACTAAACCCAATACATCTCCTCCATCAATCAAATCCCCAAGGAACCTAATCCAGTCAAACAGGCAGACACATTGATGGCTGGCTGGTAAACCAGGCTCGCAAGTACTCCAGGGGTGTGGAAAGAACTTCTCTAAATGCTTCTTTGAAGAGACAGGTCTTTAACAGCTTACTGAAGGATGGGAAAGAAGGTAGGCAACTTTATTACGGTCAAAGACAGTAAGTCCAGAACAATATAAAATAAATACATACAATTGTAGTTTCGTAAAAGTAAGCAGAATTATAAATTTTCCATTAAAATGTGATAAAACAATCCCTTCTTTGAGGTAATAACATTATATATCATTAAAATAAATAAAAGCTCAGCTGGTGTTATATTAAACATTATATTATCCATCTAAAATCGCAGCCCAAACATCTGGTCACGAACAACTATGGCTGCAGCACAGGATTTGGCTACTTGTCTTGTAATATAAGAGGTATTGTCAGAGAGTAGCAACTGTACATCTCCTCTGATCTCCCGGGAGATTTACAGATAATAGGAAGTAAAAGCTCCATACGTACATCCCAATAGCAAGTACAATACAGGAGAACATGACCAACTGAATCGACTTTGTCACTATTACAAGCGCAGAGACAATCTGATGGAGGCAAACCTCGAAATCTTCCTCCAGAACGTAATAACATTGAGCCTAGCTAGCGTAAAAGCCCTTGTGGCTTTAGATGAGATAGTACTGGCTAAATACGAGGAGGTGATAAAAGCAGATTTCTTAAGAAAGTTAGATTTCCTCAGCTGACCAATATGGTCCTGTAATTCTATATCCCAGACCCTTAACTTCACCGAGGCTGGGAAGGAAGGGGCCTCACAGCTGTCCACAGGGAAGCTGTTCCAAATATGTGGGGCCACTACTGAGAAGACAAACACTTTAACATACAAATAAGTTATTTTTACATTGTCTAAGGACTTAAATGAATATTGTATAGCTTGCAGTCGTTTGGTCTCGTGTTCTTGTTCTCAAGCCAACATTTAGATCCCTCCATTTGAAGTAGAAGACTATGAATGCCCTTCAACATTTTTACAAAGAAGCCTGACCTAACTTGAGTCCTGGTGCAGACTCAATGACTGAGCTGCTGCCCTTCACAAAGATTTTTGATTTTTCACCCTGCATGACAGAGAGTCAAGAGTCAAGGAGAACACGCTAAACCCTGTAAACAACCAAAAACAAAAAACACAAACCCCAAACCAAAAGTACTGTGGCAGCTTTAAGATGAACAAATCTGTTTCTGTATAAACTCTCATGGTTTACAATCTATTTCGTCAACATGTGTATCTGATGAAGTGGACTATAATTTCACAAAAGTTCACATTCAGATACAATCAATTTTAAACCTGCCACAAAACATTAGGTTTTGTTTGCTCCTGCTGCTGCTGAAACAGGCTATAATAACTATCCCTCTGAAATCCTGTGTAAAAACATCCATTTATTTACAGAACACCTCAGTAGCCATTCAAACAACCTGCTTTATGTGGTTCATCCAGCAAAGCAGAAGGGAAAATGTCTTTGAAACTTCTTAAATATCATCTCAGTGCCCAGCTACTGCATACACATTTGCCACACAGCAATGGGACTGTCCCTGAAATCCATTGATGAGTACCTAGTCCTATAGCTTATAATTTAGTCAAAACAGTAAAAGAGAGCTGCTTTCTTACGTTTTAGCATGAACTTTCATGCTCTGTATCCCCCCATTCAAACCAAGGACTCCACTTTAGTTCTACATCACAACATTTGCCCACTCATATGCTGAAATATTTATTTTTAATGCTGAAATAAAGCTTAGTCCAATCTTTAAAAAAATACATTCCTGGGCTGAGTATCAACTGGAACATCTGCACAGCTTAAAGTAAGGGAGATTTTCATTTGGGAATGAAAGCAATGCAAACATGCTGGAGCAGCAGGGATGTTGCAGGTGCGTTTGTAAGTGCTTTGTAGAGCATATGTCAAAAATAGACGAAGGGAAAAAGTTACTTTTGGAGACTAGAACTCCCTTACCAAGCATGACTACTAGTCAAAAAACTATTTTCACCATCTCTCATCAAAATACATATAGCCTCATGCATAGGGTTGCCAGATACACGGGTACTAAAAGGAGGACATAGAAAGACAAAAAGGAGGACAAAGGAGGACATATTGAATGTTTCATTTGAATCATTCCAGATTAAACCCACAATCAATACAATTTTATTACAATAGCTGCCAATAAATGTCTCTTAGTGAACCGACCAAGAAACAGTCATGTTTAAAATTAGAAAAAAATTCAATGGAGGCTTTTTTTCAAAATACCAGGGATGGGCGGGCAGGTGGGGGCAGGGAAAGGCAGGGGGCAGGGGGTCCTTCCACCTCTCCCCCTCCCATCCAAAATTATAATATAAAATATACAAAAGCCTGACATTTTAAGGGTTTTTATCTTTGCCTGCCTGACGGAGGACATTAGGTTCAAAAGGAGGACATGTCCTCCTTTTGCCTGACATCTGGCAACCCTACTCATGCATGGAATTATTTCATTCTTTAATAACTGGAGCAAGAAGTAAGATAACTTCCAAGTTCTCTTCCTTCCTCTCCTTCTAAGATCTACCTCAGGATACTGCAATTTTAACAGGTTAATCTCAGATTCATCACACACTGAGATTCTGGGATTAACAAGGAAACATGACCAGTGAAAATAGAAAATCATAGAAATTGCTCACCAGTTGAGTCTGCTACAGATGCTCTTCCACTGGTCAGGTCTTCAGTATTTATGGACCGAAGGTCAGTATAGGAAGGGGTGATACTTGGGCTGCTGGTGTTCTCTGAAGTCGTTGTCCAACTGCTGTCTGAGGTGAGTGGCCGTTTCTCAGAAGATCCAAAGGAGGGACAGGTCCAACAAAATTTTCTTGGAGAAGAGGCTTCATGAAGGAAAGGAAGGACGGAGGGAGGAAGATGTGGAAACAGTTGGTACAAAGGAGAGGAATCAGATGGCACAAAATATTAGCATTACATTTTCACTGTCCTAATAAAGTGTAACCCCCCCCCCACTTCTTCTGCCCTTCCACCAAGAAGCAGAGGAAGTATTTAATTTGTCAATATCCTGCAGTGGCTCTCTTATGAAGCAACTTCATGATACTGGAAATTCCCACTAGAAGAAGTCTTGACGGCTTTAAGGCTCACCTTTGGTTTGTTTCCAGCAATCACACATCCTGGAAACAAACCAAAGCAGAGTTATCCTACCTGTACCAAAGAAGTATAAGTCCCTGAGAGGGGCTAGAAAGGTGCAGGTAAGACCACTCTAGGGGCGGTTGGCTTCACTCCAGCACAGTCATCATTTGATCACTGTCTTTAGAAGCAAACCAGCCCATCCCTGCAGTGCATCAAACAGTGTGCTAAATCCCATCTAGCCACCTCTTAACTTGCTCAAGACATTTCTTTCCAAATCTGTTTTGATCATACCACAGCCTTACTGAGCAACCATAGAAATAGCTCCAGTGTGTTCATTGGAGCTCCCAGATGAGTGGGTGTTGGTGTGCAGCTTATCTCTAGCTCATGACAGTAGTTCCAATTTCTTCTGAGTGTAGGATCACTTCAAGCTCTTTTCATTATCATTTTCTGCTTTCCTTCTTCCTCAACTGTATTATTCTCTTGCTCAATAATACTTTTTTCCATTTTGAAAGCAAAATGAGCACCACACAAGACTTGCTCTGTTGTGAACATGCATCCCCAAGGGTGCAAGATAAAAGCAGAAGCTATTTGAACAATTTAGAATCAGACAAAGCCCTTGAGATAACTGTGGGCTAGATGTCACAAATCACAATAGTCCTTTCTGAACTCTCATTTTTATGCCTCGCTGTGTTCCAGATGCAGTCAAAGCCAACTGTATATCTAATTGGCAACCTACTGACTTATGACCTTAGCAGAAGCACCAACCTAAACGGGAGGTTTAAGGCCCAGTTCTTAAGTGAAAACTTTAGTATAACATGTTTTCATGTGATCCTTATCCATGCCATACTGGTAACATGTAACACGTGCTCTGTTTGACTCCTTATCCATGCCATACTGGTAACATGTAATTAGAGTAACACATGCTCTGTTTGACTAACATAGCTATTTCCCATGCCTCTCCCAGGTGAGGTGGTTGTCGTTATTTAAAACTTTGAGTTGTCAATACCTGATTAATGAGATACAGTTTGGCTTGGTTTTAATTTTTTCTATGACCTTATTTAAAAGGGGATGTCCCTTGATTTTAGGCAAACACAGGAAACTTCAGAAAGTTTAAAAAAGCAAACTACTAACATTAAATCCTCAATCTGAATTGAGGATCTGAAGATTTGTTTTACCTATTTTATAGTCACAAAATCATAAACAGTTTTTTTTAAAAAAAATTAGATATGTGATTCAGATCAAAACTTGCCCTTCAATTTCCAGAATACCCCACCAGCATGGCTTGTGGGAAAGGCAGAGTGGTGAAGAAATGGAGAAAATAAATTTAATTTTAGCAGCAGTGTCATTAATTAAGGACTGGCAGGGTGAAGAGAGACAGAAAATAGTAGAGAATTTTGGATGGGGAAGTAGTGACCAGGCATCTGGTCCATCAGCTGAGAAAACAAAAACAAAAAGCAGACTGGTGGCAATACACTCAAACTTGTTTCAAATCATTTTAATTTACCTGGACACTCAGCACATGACCTGAAAGCTGCCATTCTAGAGAAGAAAAATTACAGGACAAGAATCCAAAGAGACACTGCTGAGATAAAATATATACACATGTTTAAAACCCTTCTCAATGGACTTAGTATAAGCCAAGGTTTCTTAGGTCATTATAAAATACAAAATATTGTATTGTATTTGCTGCTGTAAACTACATTTCCTTACTATCTTACTATCTACTAAAGCCACCTCACAAGCCCTATTGTTGATTAGAGATGCTCATTACCATCTTGTTGTTGCTTGTTATCTATAACAAGCAAGATTAATTTAAATACCAACCATTCTCCTTGCTTACAGAATGATGTTTCCTGGGAATATCAACAAGGGTTTTAAAGGTCATTGCCAGGTCAACAACTTGTACCCAATTACAACCTCTGGTTTGGGGCCATGTATAATGTATAAATATTTGCCATCTAATACCACTCTTAGGTCTGAGGAAGTGGACTTATCCACAAAAGCTCACATTAAAATGTGAGCTAGCCCTTAAGGTGCCACAACATTTTTGTCTTCTCTATTTTGTCTGATATGCTAGCATAGATTAACATGGCCACCTCTTCTAAATCGTCAACAAAGGTTCGCTATCCTACTGCAGAAAACTACAGAAAGCCTAGTATGCCCAATACTAGATCAATGACCACAAAAGTCCCTAAACTCTGCCACTGAAGGAGAGATAAGGCAATAATTTCCCTTCCATTTTCCCTTGAAGACAATGAAACTGGGCATGTGTTTCATTACAGACTTTCTTTCAGTGTGCTGCATCCTCCCAACTCACTGCAATAAAACTTAGCAAAGGATAATATTCCAACCTGCCAGTGTGTGCTCAGGTGAAGTGCTGGTCCACGGGGTATCTTCAAACTGGACCCATGTGCTGAAGGGTGAAGATAAATCAGACTTTGGAGACAGATGGTTTTCAAGCAAAGTCACAGGTGCAGGTTCTGTAGCTGCTTTGTCCATAGCATCTCCCACACCGGCTTGCTCAGATGTCTGAAATTCTGCATCCAGGTTCTGCAGGCCTTCAGAGGAGGTTTCAGAGGAGGAAAGAAATCTCTCAAGTGGTTCCCCAGGGTGGTCTGAAGTGAGGACAATATAAGAAGGAGTCGAGTACCATCACTCTCATAATTTGATTTTTAAAAAAATAACAAAAAAGCAACCCCAAAACCGCTTTTTCGTCCTTTGTTAACCGTTAAATCTGCTAAGCCACTGTGTGACCTTACTTGATTGGAACAATTTGTTTTTTAAAAAATAAGACTATTTCAGCACAGGTGTTCATCTCCCTCACTCTCAGATGTTTTGTAACACACATAACAACTTACTCTGTGCAGTTTACAGAGCTGTACACTACTGTACACTGAGCACTTTCCTCATACACATCAATCACTGACATGGAGTACGTAATGTGTAGTGCCACACTACAAAGAGCAGGTGCTACCTTACTTGATTGGAACAATTTGTTTTTTTAAAAAATGAGACTATTTCAACACAGGTGTTCATCTCCCTCCCTCTCAGATGTTTTGTAATGCACATAACAACTTACTCGGTGCAGTTTACAGAGCTCTCACTACTGTACACTGAGCATTTTCCTCATACACATCAATCACTGACATAGAGTACGTAACGTTGTGTAGTGCCACACTGCGAAGAGCAGGTGCGCATCACAATAGTTCCCATAACATTGCTCCTTTAAAAAGACACCAAAATTTGCTCCTTTACAAAGACACCAAATATTCCAATCCATATGAGGAAACCAGTTTCCACTATGTTTATCTCCATCAGGACTGGCCGTTTTGTAAATCTAATGGGTCTTAACCGCTCATTCCAGGTCATGCCACACCTAATACTGCATTGCTGCTTAAGAAAAGTCATGCCCCCCTTAACCCTTTCCACTGTGAGAACTGCAGCTGAGCTCATTAAGAAACCAGAAAGCTTTTCTATGAGAATGAATAGAGTAGGATTTAAAATGTGAACTCCTGCAGCCTTTTGCAGGCTCTGGATAGGGCAAAGGGGTGCTTACTAATACACAAATATCAGACTTTTTCAATAGAGCAAAGGAATTTATTGACCTTGGGAGATGGTAGATAAATGCAGCCCATCATCAAACGACACCCACTCGGACTGCTGGGAAGTAATGAAATTGGCCAGCGAGGTCATGCTTGCTGTTGACAATCATTCATCTTCAAACCCCCAACAGACAGTGCGATCAGCAATGGGCAGGCAGCTCAATGGGCTGCAAAATTCTTGCGGTCATCTGAATCTATCAGAAAAAACAACAACAGAAGTTCAGAGACATATAATTTGATCACACAAAACTATTCTATAAAGCAATCAGAATACATTAATCCAGTCCTCCTCAATGTGGCATCCTTCAGATCAGTTGAGTCACAGTGCTTACCTTCCATATGCAGCATTGGACTTGGTCTCTGGGGGGTAATGAGAACTGTAACCCAACACTGATCATGCCAGCTGGAGGTTATGACAGTAATACGCAAAACAAATTAGGATCCCGATTTGGTTAGAGCCCACTGGCCTATGTTTTCACCTACTGCTTTGAATGGCACAATCACCTAAATCTATGCCCAGGTTATGTTTTGTGTTGTCTATTAATTAATTCTTTGCCACTTACATTATTCTACCAACGGTCTCCTCTTTAGACCTTATACAGATGTTGCTTGCTACTAATGATGTACAGTATATAAAAGTATCTTGTCATTCCCTCTTCCCTTCTCCCATTCTTCCAATGAAGGCTAAAGTGATTTCATTTAATACATTGCAAGGTGGGTGGATGATGATTTAGATATCAGCTTTTCCCCCCTATGATGGGATAGAGTGGGTGGATGATGATTTAGATATCAGCTTCCCCCCCCCCTATGATGGGATGGGCAAACTGTGGCTTGTTCCCAGTGCTTGGCTGCAACTCCTAGGATTCTTTACCACTTCCTATGCTGCCTTGGATTGATGGAAGCTACAGCCATGCATTGCTCACTCCTGCTCTATGAGCTTAAGGCAGTGTACGCACCTCTCCTCCTCAAATTAACTTTGTGAGATAGGTAAACAAACTCTACCCAGCTACAAGGACCAGTGATCACTGCACACAAAAGACTAGCTAATGATACCCATCCATCACAGTGAAAGATCATCTCCCCCCCCCTTATCACAACAATACACCCATAACAAAAAACACCCTGATCACCATAATCACCCAATATCCTGAAAAGGACAAAAACTTGATCCCACAGCTACAAATACTCAACTATCCCACACACTACCCCAGAACACAGACAGAATTCTAACTCCTATCCTCTGAAGATGCCAGCCACAGAGACTGGTGAAATGTTAAGAAGAAAAACCTTCAGAACACAGCCAAACAGTCCGAACAACCTACAACAACCATTAGAAACTATCAACTAAAAAACTAAAAATGATGTAATTAGAAATCTTAGTCTTTCACAATGAAAGCTTTGCATAAACAGCTCAGGGGGTTCCAGTCGTGTCAATACATATTTATTTTTTTAATAGTCCAAGCTTTCGATGGCAATATCTTGTGCCATCTTCATCAGGGAAGGCAAGATATCAACTAGCTTTGTTTTAGTTGATATTTTACCTTCCCTGACAAAGATGGTGTAGGATATTGCCATCGACAGCTTGGACTATTTAAACAGTAAACATGAAATGACACAACTGGAAACCGGTGAGCTGTTTATGCATAAAAATGATCTGTTTCCCATGGACACTCCCTAACTTTGTAATGTCCAGCCTGATGAAAAGTCCTGCAGAACTTCAAACTAGCACCTGTCTGTAAACATTTCAGTGGCCTAATAAAGATATATTCTACCCTCCTTTTTACCATGTGTTTTAAACAGCAACAGTAAGATCCCTTGATCCAAATCAGGGCCATGGTGTGACTACAGAATGAAGATAAACTCTCTCCTCAGTCTGTGGTTTTAATGAGAACTTTCCTCGACTTCTATTGCTTGCTTTAAGAGGGAGGCTGCTATTAGCACTGTAACCCACAAATATGGATTGCAGGCTTACACTATGATCCCAAGTATGTTTAAGATGACATTTATGTGGGAAACTTACTGAAAGGACTATACAGCAGAGTAACGATACAGTGATGGTCGTTGTGGGTTTTCCAGGCTGTTTGGCTGTGTTCTT